ACCAGGCTTGATTGTCAAAATCGATTGGGAGAAAGCATATGACCACGTGGACTGGTCATTAATGGATGAGACAATGGCTAGAATGAATTTTGGTCCTCGATGGAGAAAATGGATAAAAGGTTGTATTTCTACCCCCCATATTTCGGTCCTTATAAATGGAAGCCCTAAAGAATTCTTTGCTGCTTCGAGGGGGCTCTGTCAAAGGGACCTGCTATCTCCCTTTCTTTTTACAATAGTTGTTGAGGTTTTCAGCAGGTCTATCTCTCGTCTATATAAGGAAGGACTACTTTCGGCTTTCCTCTGTAGCTCACAAGGTCCTTTGGTATCACACTTGCAATACGCAGATGATACCCTAGTCTTCCTAGATGCGGTCCCTCAGCAAATCGAGAACCTGATAATCTTCCTCATATGCTTTAAGAAGGCCCACTGACTTCAAATTAAATATGGAAAAATCAAAGATGATGGCAGTGGGCCTCACACTTCAAGAAATCAGATCCCTGATTCCTTCCTGGGATTGTAAAGTAGAGGACCGCCCTACCACTGATCTGGAGATCCCTTTAGGTTTAGGGAAACCAAAAACGAGACATTGGGCCCAAGTGATTGATAGAGTTGATAGGTGTCTAGCTGGTTGGAAAGGAAGATTCCTTTCCCTGGCCGGTCGTTCTACTTTGGTTAAGGCTACACTAGCAAACTCCCCTATTTACTTAATGTCCATCTTCCATATGTCAGCATCGGTGGCTAATAGACAGGATCAACTGATGAGGAACTTTCTGTGGTCCGGCCAAGCCAAAAAAATGAGACATCATCTAATCTCTTGAGATAGAGTCCGACTGCCCTAAGCCCATGGTGGTTTAGGTATCAGATATCTAAGAAAGCATAATCTGGCTCTATTGGGGAACTGGTGGTGGAGATTGGCCACCCAACCAAACCCTTTTTGGGCACAAGTTATTCGAAATAAAAATAACATTCCGGACCCCAATTGGGTACCTGAGAGGCCATCACGAAGCAAGGCTTCAAGAGTTTGTAAGTCTCTCGCCTCTTCTCTTGCTCAGTTCAAGAAAGCACTTCATTTCCATCCAAAACAAGGAAACAAAGTTCGTTTTTGGTCTGATCTGTGGATTGGACTTGCTCTCTTTAGGGACTTATTTCCTAGCTTGTTTCAACTTGCTTCCAACAAAGAGTCCAGTATTGCAGATGAAATGGTCTTGGCAAGGGTGAGTAGAACTTGGAACCCCACGTTTCGAAGGAATCTTTCTGAAGAGGAAATATTAGCTTTCACCACTCTTTCGGCTACTCTTCACCTGGTGTTCTTACCTCCATCAGGGAGTGATTCTTTGGTATGGACACTATCCCCATCTGGTAAGTTTTCAGTAGCATCTTTCTATAAAAAACTTATCCAACCTCCTACTTTCCCTTTAAATCCCATCTCTCCTCTCTCCAAAGTGTGGAACACAATAGCTGCTCCAAAAGTTCAGTCTTTCAATTGGATAGCTGGCTGTCCACGGGCCCTCACACTTGATTAGCTCCAAAAAAGTGACCTGCCACTCCAAAACAGGTGTGTAATGTGCCTGAAAAAGGAGGAGTCAAACCCCCACCTTTTTCTACATTGCAGTGTGGCTTATGAGCTTTAGACACTGATTCTACACTTATTTAGCGTCAAATGGGTCCTCTAAATTCGATTAAAGATTTATTTTTCATTACTCAGAAGGTCCTTGGCCCCAAGCAGGTAGAACCTTGTGGAGGGCAGCAATCGCTGCTAGCATATGGGTTTTATGGCTAGAAAGAAATGAGAGGGTCTTTCAAGGACACAACAATGAAGTTTCAGGGCTGTTTCATAAGGTTACATCACTCGTAACTTTTTGGGCTTCCACCCACAGTATCTTTGGTGGGATTCCTATGAGTTCTTTTCTCAGGGAATGGGACAATATTATCCAACTCCAGACTTTCAAGCTACAACAACCTCAACTGGTTACCTCCTCCAGAAAATGCCATAAAGCTTAACTTCGTGGCTGTTCCTTGGGAGACCCGGGCCCTTTAGGAGTAGGGGGAGTTTTCCGCGACCATAATCGAAATGTTCTCATGACATACTCAGAATATGTCGGATATGGAGATTCACAATTTGCCGAAGCATTGGCACTCCTAATTGACCTAAAATTTTTTAATCCATCTTGGGGCCAATCCTTAGTGGTGGAAGGAGATGCAAAAAACATTCTATCATGAGCAGCAGGCACCACTACACCTCCTTGGTACCTTTCTAGAATATTTGATGAAATTTACCACTTATGCAGGGATACCAACGTCTGTTGGACACATACTTGGCGGACATCGAACGAGTTCGCCGACCTCCTCACTAAAGATGGTGGGCGACGACGACCACACATGGAAGACAATGAATGGTCCACCTCCGTTTTTGCACTGGACCATTTTTTTTGTTGTTGTTTTTTGTAACAGGGCGTGCTTATAAGCCCTATTTTTTGAGACCTAAATCTTTTGCTTACAGCCACTTCAAAAGGCTATAGGTTGTGTAGGGTTAATGGCTTAATTTTTTTGACTGAGATACCTGGCTTGTGGGTATTCTCGGTGCTCTCCTCCCTCTATCTGCTGTATTCCTTCTTTTGATTAGTAATACAATGTTAACATTATAAAAAAAAAAAGTATCCTCAAGGGTTTCGTAGACTTAATATATTTCCTGCAAGTAAACTTGAGGAGGAGCATGGACGTCTTCTCTCAATGAACGGGAACATTATCACATGGAATCATGAAGTGAATGATGAATTTTAATTTATGTCCACGCATGAGCGGGTTCTGAGCCAAAAATGCTTCCCGACCTTAATAAGGTGAGATGATAAAGGGGTCTGCGGTCGACTTGAAAATCCAATGAGTATTTTAATTTCTCTCTCATCAAAGTGACATATGTGCAAGTGACCTCATTCCCCTGAAAAATAGTCTGCTTCTAATAAAATTATTATTTCTGTCTATTGTTAGAAATTTTAGACACTGTAAATTATTACAAATACAATTGATTATTTTTGTTTATTGTTATGAATTCTAGACACTCTAAGTTTTATGTGTAAGTGATCTCATTTTCCTGTAAAATAATTATTTGAAAATTGATATTTCCACTTTTAGTAAAATTGTGATATTCTGTTTATGGTTATGAATTTTAGATACTGTAAATTATGGTATTTCTTCTTTCAATAAAAGTGCAATATTTCTGTTTATTGTTATAAATTTTAGATATTGTAAGCTCTATGTGTAAATTGGCTTCATTTTTTCTGTAAAATCATTGTTTGAAGAAAACTGATATTTCTATAATGCTCCAAGAGATATTTTTGCATTTAATTGTACTATTTCCAAAACTGTAAGTTTTACGTATTTCTGTATTTAATTGTAATATTTGCAGCATAAATCGTATATACTGTTAATATTATATGCAAGTATATGCAAATGTTATATGGCAGTGTCATGTGCACGTGTTATGTGCAAGAGTTAGGTGCAATTGTTATGTACAAGTATTATGTGCCAATGTTATGTGTAAGTATCATGTACAAATGTTATGTGCAAGTAATTACTATGAGTTGCTTCATGAGAATTCATATTAATGAATTCAAGACTATTTTGAAAAGATGACATTATTGTTCCCTGATGTCTACTACATTAATATATGGCCAAAACAATTGACATTTCTTTTGAATTTATATGCATGATAGTATGACATAGTGATGTCCCTTGTGACTATATGTATAGCATCGAAATGTTGATGTTATTGGGATTACATATGAGACATGCTTCTGATAAGATATGTGCATGGTAACATGCTTCTGATAAGATATGTGTGCATTGAAACATGCCTCTGATGAGATATGTGTGCATAGAAACATGCCTCTGATCAGATATTTGTGCCGACAGCTGTGATTTTTTCCTAACTCTCTATGATAAGATGAGAGTTAAGAGTGTGTGTGTTTGGGTGGTCACTCCACCAAAATCTGTGTGAGGTACTACTCATTGGGACCCCATTAGAAGTGTAACGCTCTCTCGCCAGAAGGGCACATGAGAGGACCGTGTCTTGCAAGGCCAGTGCCTATCAAAGGCCCCAAAAAGCACTAGGGCTGTGTGCGTGTGTGACGCAGTACGCAACGGATTTACCCATTATTAGTGCTTCTTCTTGTGGGATAGTAGAAGTTCTAATCTTGAACCCGAGGCTTGAGATCCAAGGTTAGTGCTTCTATTACAGGACTTCTGTTGTTATGAATGCTTGTTTGATTATATCTGATACTTAATGTTGATTTTGATATGAATCATGTGCATATGGTTTATGTATTATGCTTATTTTATTTGTCCAATAAGGAATACAAGATATGTGTAAGATTAGAAATGAATCTATCTAATAACATATATTACAATACATGAAATCAATACGTCGAATTTCCGCTTAATATGCATTTTTGAAAATATTACATTTTCCAATGTTGATTTTCAAGGATTATGATGGTCACTTATTGAGTAGCCAAACTCATCAAACTGTTGTGAATTCTTTTCAGATTAATTCCAACCGTATCGTTCGCATGTGCAACAGGAATAGTTTGAAAGAAGTTTGTAATCATGGATAAATTCATCCTTGTAACTATTATCCTATATATATATATATATATATATATATCTTCATGTTATTATAAGTTGTGAAATAGACTTTGTACAAATTTTAAAGTTCTTGAGTGGAAATTTTGTTTTGATACAATATTTAGTGAAAATTTCAAATTTGTTTTCATTCGTTTGACTGTCACATCTCAGGAATTCTAGTTTTATAAAACTTGGGATGTGGCATAAGTGGTGGAAATCTATTCAAACACATACACATGATTATCCATTAATGATTGCACATATAACAGTAACGTGATTATCCATTAAGGACTGAAAGAAGTTTTAGCAAACACCCAGCAAAAACAATGAGATAACAAATATATACCTATCAAGTATCAATGAAAGAACAAGAAACAAACCTTCCTTCCACTGGCACGCCATGACTGAAAACCAATCCAAGGATGCTTGTGGATGTTATCTGTCCCATTAGCAATAGCAAACAAACCACCGAGTTCACAAAAAGCATCCCTATAGTAAGTGTTATTCAAAAGCGGAAGACGTTCAACAGCTTCCAAATCATCTGAATTAGTTCTTCGTGATCCTGGAGCCTGCAGACATGTACTTTGGAAAGTAAGAGTTCTATGCATATCCCTCAAAAATATGACTTTGGAGGGTGCTTACATTACAATCAGAGGAGATATGTACACAGCCATAATTTATAAAATCATATGCAGTTACAACTTTTTCCTTTTATGCAAGTATTTCCTACAGAACCATTAGGAGGCAAACAACAAGAAGTTGTTCCCCAAGATGCTAGAAAATAACCAATACTTGCAAACATAATATATCAACATGATAACTCATATAGAAATATTGTGTAGAGTAGAATAAATGCCATATAAGGTGAAACCACAAGGGTAGCAATGAAAGGAATCCATGTCTCAAAGTATAAGCACATGATTATTAAAGATGATTTTGAAAGCTGTATCTGGATATAAGATATCTTGAGAGATAAAGGTAACCAATTTCCGATAAGGAAAAAAAAAGTCGTAACCCTCACTTTCATGGGTCACCATCTAGCATGCAGCACAATCAGTGTTCAAGAAAATTTCTGATAACATAACAATTACGGTAAAGACTACTACAGCAAGACTACTACAGCACAGGAAATTCTTGTAGTGGCTTGATTGCAACATTGTTTCCAGGGTTCAGACTCCACCAGGGACCTACCTAAAGAAAGTACCACAGCATAGGTCATCAATAAAGCCCCAAAACAGAAGTTGGCACAATAATGAGACTAAAGGCCTGCATAAGGTAAGAACATGTAAATTACACCTTGCATCCCCGTAAAAGTTCAATAGAAAGACATGTCCAATAAGCAAGCTGACAAAATGTTTACTATGTCGGATTTATTTGGCTTATCAAGGCATTGACACCATGTCTCTTTATGAGATTTCTAACTTACGAGATTTTAACTCCAGTGGAAGTATGGATCCAAATAGGATCCTTGTGACTATCTGGGTCTTTGTGATCTAGGACCCAAACACGGTGTCTATGGAGTCACAAAAACCCTAGCCCATTGGACAAATGGCCTAGATTGTTGCTGTGAGGGTTGAGGGTAATGCCTTAGCCGAGGTGGGAGTGGGTGGTCCCTGCGGGTCATTATATAACCATGGTATATGTGGACCTTTTGAGGTCCCTCTGTGAACTATCTATGATATGTGAAGTTTACGTGGATTTATTGTGGCCCTATGTGGGATGGCTTGACTTATTTGGAAAAATGACGATAAAGGACACGTGTGTGACCTAGGATCCATGTGGGACCTAAATGGCCTATGGGCCCCACATGCACCCCAAATAGGCCACACATTGCCCCATCTCAAACCCACATGTGGATGATGCCAGGGTGACATCATCAACGTGGGGGAGTGTGTAATTTAAAAGGCATTTGGTTGGGCCATTTAAGCCCACTTTGGATATGTATAATGCAATTTTGCAATGGGGTAATCAAATTGCACATGGGCAGATCTTCAGAAAGGGTATAGGGTTTAATATTTTGATTGAAACCCTGAGGCTAACAGGATATTAAAATGCTCACTTACATGACACTGGTCACACTCATTCATTCCATGTGCAAGTTGATTAATCAAGTGAGATAGAGGATCACATCTTATCTCTCTCATTTCATGTGAAATGAAGAGTAAATTGAAAACGCACACCCCTCTCTAGACTAAATCTCTCAAGATCAATAAAAATTCTCATGGGCACCTTGGACTTTGTGAAAACCTAGTCTAGATATAAATTCTTATATCAAAGCCTCTCTTCACCCTATAAATCTCCAAGATCAATGGTCGAAAATAGTCGCCTAATAAACCTTTTGTAATCTACACTCTCCCAAAAAACTTAAAAATAGGGGTGGTCTCCTCCCATTTTCTCACTCAACTCAATTGAAAAGTTATTATGCCAAATTAGAGAGAGACCCAAAGGGAGCACGGCCCATCTAAATAAAAAAAATAGAGTAGCTCGCGGCCCTAACCATGCCCCATCGCCATGAGCATCTACTCTAGGCCACATCTCTCGCCTTGGACCTTTGCCCGTATAACCAACTATGGCTCAATTCCCTATCAACAAAGCTCAAATTCATCTTTCGTGATGCTGATTATGACTGAGTTTCATCAATTTACCGAAAAGTATTTCGAGACTCTCTAAGCTATAAGTTCAATCTCATGGGCCATTACCATGCCAATTTATAAATGCAAAGAACCTCATATGAGCTCCATTTGGCCAAGTTCTACATTTGCACCAACTAGTTCTTCAAAGCTTGTTTTATGATTATGAAATCCCCTGTATGAGTTTGAAATATTGTAGATGGATTCTTTTAATTACATCCCAATTTGGAGGATTATAAGGACCTAAGAACTTATGCTAACAGTGTAGATATCTGGTGTGCGGTGTGGTTAAGTCTCGAGGAGATCTCGAGCATTTTATGAGAATTAGCACTCCCATGGTTTATGTCTTTGTTGCACAGATTTGTTGAGTCCTCGTAAAATTGGAAGGTTGTATTTCGGTCAAGTAATTGTAATTCCAAAGTGTTTGATACAATTATCAATGAATAGTATTGCTCATTTTTCTAAGCTTTCATTGTATTTTATTACAGCTGGCAATGGGCCGGGCCTAGCCCTATTCGCTTGAGTGCCAACCCGAGCCCATCCTTGGCCATATCAGGGCCAGGCCGGGTTTGGTGAAATTAAAGGAAAAACAAAGGAAAGAGATAAAAAAAAAAGGGCCGGGCCAAAACGAGCCCGGCCTATCTTGGTCTGGCCCAGGCCCTAATTTTTCAGGCCAGGCCGAGCAGGGCCAACTGGTCCTTTGCCACCCCAATATTTTATTTCTACAACCTTAACTTGGTATATTCAATGGAAATGTGTATGGGGCCACATAGACCGTGTTTTTAATCCTCATTTTGAGTAGTAAATCTGGTTGAAAAGCATTTGTAACTTCGCATCAGTCCCTCATTGATGTAATTTTGATTCAAATACATATGTAAAGAGGTGTAAAAGAGTCACTTGTATTGTACAAAGGGAGCCGTCCCACAGCTAATACACTACTGTCACTCCATGCTGTTGAAGTACTGCAGTTGCAGATGACGATCAATGAAACAAAAATACAACATAAGTACCAAAAATGATTCTGTACACAATTTAATATCTAGGGATGTAGCTAACTCACTGCCAAATATCATGCTTTCAAATAACAGGGCACAATCTCTTATTTCTAATGTATACAAAGGAAACTGAAGAGTGTGAAACCAGTCCTAGTCTATATGCTATCAATCATAAGAAATCAAGACCCTCTCCTTACTTTATCAGTAGTTCTAGATGTACGCCATAAATATAAAAAATAGCAAACAAAAACAATACAAAGAAAAGAAAATGGCTCTATAACTTCCAAAATTTTCAGAAAAGTAGCATGATATAAGATACAATCGAATCTGGAAATTCCAAAAACAAAAAAAGGGATCTTAATTAAATCCAATCAAAATTTTCTCAGCAATATGATCTTCCCAACCAACCATTTTAAAATGAAGTTACAAAGTGCACAACAATAGCAATACATGAGACATAAATTTAGCAAAAAATGGCAACTGGGTCAGAGGTCAAGGGCGATGACCAATGCATAAGAAATAATTTTAAAAAAAAGAAACGAAAAAGGAAAATGAGAACCAGTTGACGAAGCCCAAGGCAATCCAGGAGACAAGCAATAATAGCTTCCAACGGAAACTTTTGCATTGCGGAATGGGTAAACTTACAAGACTCAAACCACGATAGAGTGAATCACGATGCAGAAAAGGCCAGGCGCCTGCCCCATCGTAAACCTCATAGATACACAGTGAAAGGCCCGTTCTTTCAAGCTCCCCTTCATCTCTTTCATTCGATTCAACCTTCACCTTTTCGAATTTCTTGGTATTTCTGCGTACATCCTCCCATGATTCCACATCAGTCTCCATCTGCCCATTCAGCTACATATCATGAAAGAAGGATATACATTAAGATTGCTTAATAAAGAAAAACCCAAGGTAAAATCCTTCTTCTTGTTTTAGATTAAGATCAAGTTAGACTGAGCAAAAAAAAAAAACACACAATACCTCCTCCATTTCTCGTCTTTCGTATTCTTCAGAAATTTCTGTATCTCTTGCGTCATCCCAGTCCTGTTGGGTAGGGATATCCTCAGCAATTTGATCATCAGATGCATTCATGCTACTCTTCCAACTTTCTTCAATAGCAGACATCACATTTGAATTTCTATGCAATCTGTTTGGCTTTCTAACACCCTCCCCCAATATTTGACCATCTGTCATAGCTATTTCATTCCCTATAAGGTCCCACGCCCATTGCACCTCATGAGCAGGGAGTCTTGAAACAGGTTTTGGAAGCATTGCATCTGAAGGAAACTGCAACACATTCTCTAGAAGTTTTGCATAAGTAGTAATGCAATCCAAAGCAAACATGTTTCTTGCATGCAACCTTCCAGAATAACCAAGCATATGAGCATAATTGTTCAGCTTTCCATCCGTAACTAGAGATGAGAAAGTTGCAATCAACCTCCCAGTATCATTCATGGGATAAATCAAACCATGAGTACCATTCTGGATCTGTACTAGTGTTAAGTTAGTCCAAATGAAGTTAACTAAACCTAGAAACGAGGATATTCAACTATCAACTAAACATGCATAAACTCACATATCTTCTCACAAAAGGTAGATCAGGAGCCATGACTGGAATTCCAAAGCTCATTGCTCGAAGGAATAATGGAGGGAGCACTTGCTCTTCATGAATGGACCCATAAAGAACGATGTCAGCCATGGAAAGGACATCATTAATATAGTCATCCTCACCATAAAACCTCATAGAATCCACTGGGAAATCCAATCGTGAAGTTAGTTCCTGATTGCAAATCAAAACATAAAGGATTAACCATCTTAAATATTTATGGAAACTATAGAATTGTTCAAGCAGTCACAAGCATAAACAGAGTCCACAGAAAGGCAAGGTTATGAAAGCTTAACGAATACAATAATGGAAACTTGAAAACATAGACTTAGCATGACCAATATTTGCAAATCCACATTATTGTCGTGAACCTTCTAACAGAATTTAAAAAAAAAAAAAAAACAAAAAATTGATAATGGTATTAATCACGCTACCACTTTACATTATCCTATGCTAAAGTGAGCCCATATAACATAATCATAAAAGCCCTATCCTAAAGTCCGTACCATCCTATGCTAAGGTTAGACCATATTCCATATCATCAAGTGGTTCTGCTTTCTGGGTAGTTATATAACATGCTCATAGTAAGTTGAAACTGAAATACTGAGTAAGTAACAAAATATTAAGAAATCCTTTCAGTATTTATTATTATTTGCAAGAAATTATTTCTGCTTGTTCTTCACAACGATTTAGAGTTCATTCAAGAGGATGTAGAGTTCATCTATTCTTCCTTTCTTTAAAAAAAAGACACAATTTACATATTTTTCCCCCCTTTGCTGAGGGAGGTAAGTTAGGTGCCAACCCACAACCACAGTAAAACAGATGAAGTCGGAACAGGGACTCCACATGGGCCACATACAAGTCCACTCTAAGAGACTTGAAGAGTCTCACTGATCCATGGCGAGTCACAAGTTGACTCGTCAAATTTTAAAACCCTGTCAACAACTACCTTCCAGTTCAGCCATGAGCTTGAACTTTACCTGTTTGTCATTATAAATATATTATTTCAGCATTACATACACAATAGATATCATCTTTTTTCTTCCTGGTGATAAGTCAATTTCATTAAAATTCGTGAAAAATACATTTCTTGTTGCTGTCAAAATTACATGTATTGTGTAGAAACATCTATATCAGGGCTAAGTACAAAATTGGATAATTGATAACCTCTTGCTCCCTTGGCCAATGAATCAGCCAGATCATTGGACTCCCTCCAGTGGGGCTTAGAGCTCACAGTTCTATTGGAAAAATAGCTGAAAAATGTCTTTAAAGATGTAATTTAATTCCCACGGGCAACCTGCTTTCTTATTAGCCACCATGTAATTATATTCTCTGAATTTCAGTAAACCAGGATGGGAGGTCCAGAGTGGATTCAGGTTTTGCAGACCCGCCAGTAAAGCATGCACTTATGCCTCATTTGCATGGCACAGTTCCAAGGGTCCTGAGAAGGGAAGAATGATCTTTCCTCTGTGGTTTCTCTTCACTCTTGCTCCAGCCTTTCCTAATGTACTCATGGCACTGCCAATAAAGTTTAGTTTCACAGTGCCGGTCGATGATCGACAACATAACGAAGACCAGGCCGTATTTTTGGTCTCCCTAAATAATGAACTTCAACCAATTGCTAAAACCTACTGCCCCATATCCCCAGAATTCCTTTCAATTTAGAGCCCATGAAGTTGCCACTTCAACATTTTTTGTTACTGGGGAGGAGGACATTGTGTATTGTCCTCAGAGGGTCCAATTTCCTTCAAGCCATAAAGGCCATAATGTGGTTATTAAAGTCAATCTCCATGATATCCATCCCCAAGCAAAGAAAAGCATTATGTATTGCTATTTAAGGTTTTGCAAGATTTCACTTGCTTTACTTTATTTTTAAACTTTAAATTGTTTATTGATTTTCATGGAACTTTTTTATTTTTTATATTTATGTTCTCTTTTCTGATTCTCATGATCCGGTGAGTCAAACTAGTTACATTATGGGTCAACTCGATAAGGGAGCTCGGCACGTTGAGTTGAGGTTTCGCATTTCTGCACTCTAGTGCCCTAGACAAGTTCAATGATCAGGATTCCACACATTCGTTTTGAGAAAGAGGATTCCACACATTGGTTCAGGTATCTCACTGACATTTCACAGGCAAGAAATATCTTAAATAGATCTCACTGCCTACCTGTTTGAAAGCATAGGAACGCTTCAGTATAACCTCCTCCTAACTAAATTCGGCCAATTCGCAAGGTATATATTTTTTATCCATTAGATAATGGGGACCATTTCGGGAATACCATGCTACACTCAAAATTATGCAAAACACAAAACCAACAGCAACATATACAAATTTGCAACACCATATATGGATAAAGGTGCAATCATAGGATACCTTCTATTGCCAATAATATCAAATATCAACAAAATACCTGCATAGTCTCCAGATCACCATCTTTAGACTTGCCATTAAAGAAAAAGAATTTGAATGATACATGGCTGTCCTTTAGAAAAGATCCTATTGCATGAACAGCAACGTCATAGTCCAAAGGTAAGTCAGTATAAGCAAAAGGGCTCCCAGTGACAAAAATAATCAGATCATCTTCTTGAAGGCCACTGTCTTTTCGTAGCTGATTTACATCTCTCAGAACACTGGCTTCTGATTCCCATGCTTCCACTGGTAATCCAGGAATTACAAAAAAGTTTCCAGTATCGAGTTTGCTATACATCATCTGCGACAGAAAGCATCATGCCATAAAGGGCGACAGTGCTAAATTCATCCAAAAAAATAGCGTGCATGCTCACACACTCGAGCACGGACACACACACTTGAGCACGCACACACACACAAACTGAAGAAAAGTGAAGACCAGAAATATTACTGGAAGCGTAAAATCTGGAAAGACCAGAACATTGGCCCTGCTAAAAGCACTTATCCACTCACTAACAAGACCAATCCACCCATTCTCTTCATACACTGGAAGACGCTCACCAAGAGTTTCTTCTTGTACAATCCATATGAGCGGCACAGAAAGGAAGGGTTCTTGCAAGAGGCTGCAAATCATTTAAAAATCAATGTCTCTTAATAATTACAATAACTATGCAAGACAAATATTCTGAAGATTACTACCAAACAATTACAGCCTCACAGTTACCCCATAAATGAATAAGTTCAAATAAATGGCACAATAATCGAACCTTGTCAAAAGAGATATTCTAGTTAAATAGACTTTACATCACAATGGAGACATACTTTAAATCAAATGTTTCAAATTCCAACAAGGAATTGGACTAGGAGACATACTTTAAATCCAAAGTTTCAAATTCCAACAAGGAATTGGACTTTCCCAATGGAGAGCTCAACTTGCTCAAAAGCAATTAATGCTTTGTCAAAGGAAGGAAATTTTAGAAACACTGGATTTTGTATGCCACACTAGGTCAGACAGAACAATGCACAATGAAGCACCACAAGTTGAAAAGATGGAATAACATACCATGCCCATGATATTGCCTGTTAAATAAATATTATATTAAAACTACAAGAAAAAAGATGAAAAAGAAAAGTACATTTGAATTAGAAACTCAAGGCACTCCATAAAAGATCCTTTTAGAGCTGCAATACTGTCAATGTGCCTATACATTGATGAGTAGATATGAGACCTAACACCCTCTATATAAGAGTGTGAGAGGCTAAGAACAAAAAAACCTAGATGTGGGACTTATTTTTAAGGGTGTTTTGATGCAAATAAAATCAACCATGGGTAGTTGACGTAAGTCTAGAGCACAACTACAGCCCCAAGGAGGTGAAACCCTAATTTTCAGACCTCCCAAAGAGCTCCATGCTGCCAACTGAAGGAAATATGATAATAGATCAAAATGCTAGCCTGCCAAAACCAATGTGTTAGGTCGACGGGCCAAATCAGTCCTTGGCACGATAACTGCTAGAAAATCGCAGGATTCACCAAGACTGGATATAGTCGGTAAAAGCGGTCTTGAATCAAGCACAAATTTTGGAGATCCCTATAAAGTAACTCACGGCCAAAAACAAAAAGAGATAGGAACCAGTTGCATGCTCGAACTAGTCAACAGATGATGATTTACAATCGACGCCAGTGGTCATTCCGAAATCGAATGAGTAAGGTATGCTCGCAAAGTTAAAGACCATTGAAGGAGCGCAATTTGTGCCCAAAACGATCCCAAATTTGCAAAGGAATACTAGAAATCCATGTCCAAATGAGCAAAAATTTTTATGAAAGGCATTCCGCTAAAAAACTTAAGTTCCAAATTTGAGCTCAATCCGATGTCGAGAAGTGTCATTTTCGAAGCAATATTTGGCATACCATCAAGGGACCATCATGTTTTTGGGCAAAAGACCATACTATGGGAATGCACTAGCAATTCATGAGCAGTTTACAGCAAGTGACAAGTTGTCTTCGTCCCAGATATTCAATAATATTCCATGATCTCCACAGCCAAATAAGATCAAATTTTGATATATTGTTCTCCATCCAAAGACCATTCCCTCCATATAGATATCGATGGGGTTCCTATCACAGATCATTGCCAGATCAAAGTAAAATATACGAGATCAAAAGTGAGTACATTTGCAATGGGTTCCTATGACCTCAATCTACATTTCGACTCAAGTCTCATAATTCGTAAAACATTTTGAGCTGAAATTTTATATATATGATCTTCACTCAACCCTCTAAACATCCATATAATTAGTTATTTGATATAAAATCAAGTTGGAAGTCAGATCATAGAGAGAAGTTGCTTGAAAAATGAGAACTGCTGAATTAGGCAAAAGTGGCGAATAAAAATATCATAACTCCTTCAAATCTTAGAGTTTGTGATCGAAATTTCTTCTCAAAAACTTTAAGGATGATTCCTCACAATTTTGTTGTGATGGATCGTCAAATAATGGCTAATGAGGGGTGAAGTTGGAAGGAATTTAAAGGAAGCATCAAAGTTCCCCAAGTTTGATGTCACATTCACGAATTATTCACAAATTTGTTTGTAACTCTTCAAATCTTGGTATTTTTTCTCAAAATTCATAGCAAAATGACCATAGAAACTTGCTCTACAAATTTTGGAGAAAAATTGAGCAAAAATCGAAGAAGTGCATCAAACAAGTACGTATTAGATCAAGGCATGATAAACAAACTCTTCATGGGCAAATTCATGATATTTCTCAACTTTGGACCCCTATAATGATCCCTTTTGGAAAAGATCGAACCAATTTTTGATAATTCACCCAATTGTGAGCTATACAATTGATTTTCCCCCCATGTTCCCTAAACCTTCTATACTAACCCATCAACCCTCTTTTTCAAGGGTTAGAAAACTTGTTTAGAAGTATTTGATTAGGAAGCCTAGAGTGAGAAACCTTGTGCAGGAGCCTTAATCTAGATTGCCCAGAAACCAAATCCCCAAATCCAGAGACCAACCCCCAAAAATTAAAAAATATCCAAAAACTCCCAAAATTAGGAAAAGACCCAAAATCCCCCAAAAATACTAGAAAATCAAATTACCTAGAATACCCATGCCAAAACCCAAATTCCAAAGCACCTAAGTGGGAAATGGTGGTAAGTGAAGAAAGATCTAGGCTAGAAAAATATCTCTTGGAGCAGACTGACCTCATTCAACAAGATCTACTGACACCAATATCAAGCTGAGCCATCTCTTCTCACTAAAATAAGCAAGACAAGGCTATATTCCTTGGGGGAGACCTTAGCATTGAATTTTCCTTTGGCGTGTTGGCAAATCAAGTGAAATGAGTGACATCCTCTAGTAAACTTATAAACCAGAGGATTCAGCTAAATTTCGATCCAAGAGATTCACGTAGCCTCCCCCTCAAATCACTCTCAATTTGATGAATAATCAAATAGTATGACCATAGGAAAGTATGACCTAGTTTCCCTATAGAATCTCACTAAAACTAATTAGAAAGAGTGAATTAATTGGTTGATCTGGATCCAAAAATTGCAGAGAAAATCAGCCAATTAAATCTCATGAAAACTCTATCAATATCTCTCCAAACTTAGATCAATCAACTAAGAATTGAAGTCTCATACTTAAGAATCAGCCTAAACTCCAAATCACATGAATCAAGGAGGAAATATGTCATCACACCTTGCTGTAAATGTAAATTTACAGCCACCAAAATCTCCATGAAGGATGACTTGATGATGAAATACTGCAAAATTATATCATCATAGAGCTAGGTTTCACCTAAGCTTGAGATCAAGCCCTATTGGAGCTTGAATGGAGTTTTTCTCTCACTAAATTCTCAATTTTCTTCTTTCTCTCATTAAACTTTTGTTCTCTTGGAGGAAGAGTGGCTTGAGAAGGGACATGCCATTCTATGGAGTATTTCCCACTCGGAAAACTTTATGATGGGAGAGAGAGAGAGAGAGAGAGAGAGAGAGAGAGAGAGAGATTGAAATAGTGGGGCGCACCTCTTAGAGAGAGAATAAAACTTAGTTATGAAATGAGAGATCAGGGGGGTATTTATAGGCAAGTGTACATATGCTTCAAGAGAAGATGAGTTAATCTTGGCAATTAAAGTCAATCATCCATGATATAAAGAGAGGCTCGATCCTAGACACTTATCCCTCATCATGCTATCTTGATGAATAGATGAGATTCAACACCTTTATCCTCCATATTAACCATAGTTTTCCTTAATTAAAATTAATCACCAAAATCAACTTTGCTTTCATAAAAGCCCATGCTTGATTCATATAATCAAACAAGAAATTACAGCCAGGGGATTGCCCTTAATGGTAATTTGGAACATGGAAACAATTTTAAAATTGAATTCCCTCCATTTTTGGTGAGCAGAGTCAACCAATCAAATGGTGCCACATAAGATAGTTGGTTATATGCACAATTACACACAGCCTTAGGGCTTCAACCATAATATCAAACCCTAGGCCGCCCTTTCATGAAGCTTTCCCACATGTCACATAGCCACAAATCTCACACAAAATGTTCCAAAATTCAATTTGTGAATTTTCATAAAACCATAAAAAATCCCATCATAAAGCACCTTTAATAAACAAATCATCAAAAGACAAGGGGGTCCCCCAAGGGGTTGACGTCACCCCTACTCAACTCCACATGCTGATGTGGACACCCCATGGGCCCACTTGGACACCCATTGGCCATTTGGGTGTCACATTGGTTCCTCATGTCTATCCTCAATTATAACTACAAAAACAAATCCATAATTTCTCGTTTTTGGCTCAAAGAAATTAAAATCTCCAAAATTCCCAAAAAATGACCGAAGAAATTTTCATCAGAATAACAAACTTGGGCACCATTTGAAAATATTATAAGTTAGGACCCTATGGTGTTGAATTTGGTATTGGAGCACTCTGCTCTATTAGACCCAAAACTCAAGGTCACCTTCTAAGTATGACCAAACAAACCCATGACCCACAGTGCTAATCAGAAGCTCATGCTTGGTTTATCAAAGTCAAACCAATGTGGGGCTTGGGACTCTCATGTTGTAGTGGATTACAAGTGCATCCCCAAGGACATGAACACTGATAGATGTAGGGGTTCCTCTCTTAGCACATGTGCATATCTCGCCCAAGTGGATCAACATGGTCGAGCTGCTTCCCACTTAGTGACTGTACATGCACGTGCTATGAGAAGGCTTCTATAGGCTAATGTCCTCTCAAAGCCTTAACCTTCTCATACATGGTAGGAACCCCATCGATATCTATACAAATGGAACATTCTTTGGATGGAGAACAACATATCGAAATTTAAGCTTACCTGGCCATGGGGATCATGAGATATGATCCAATCTTTTGGATGACGACAACTCATCACTTGTTATTGCTCATAAACTGCTAGACCACAGCTACAATGAGCACTTTTCTGCAACAGTATGATGCTCCCATGATGATCTGCCAAAGATCACTATGAAAATGGTACTTCTTGGTGTCAAATTGAACTCAAAATTTGGAATTTAAACTTTCAAGGTAGTGTCTTCCATCTATAAAGATTTCAGTTCATTTGGACATAGATTTCTAGGGGTTCTTTTGTATAAATTTAGGGTCATTTTGGGGCCTGGACTGTGTTCCTTCAGTGGTCTTGAACTTTGCAAGCCAATATCCCAGTCATCCAATATCGTAATGACTTGATTCTTGGAGGACACCTTATGGGCACCCTAGATTAGAGTTCAAAACCCTTGACTAGAGTTTGACTAGAGTTTGGCCGTGCTCCATTCTAGACCATCCGTTCATCAATTCCACCATTCTGATCTCGTTCGTTTTTGCTTGAATTATATGTCTTCAGTTCATGGGGATGTATGAAGTTTAGCCTAGATCTGAGACTGCTTCCACCAACTGTATCTAGTTCTGGTGATTCTTACGATTTTCTGCCAATTATCGTCTGGCCAATCCTACGCATTGCGATTGGGGTCACCATTTGGACTTATTATCATATTTCTTTCATCTATGGGGAAACATAGGGCTCCTTGAATGTTTGAAATTCATGGTTTCACCTACTAAGGACTGCAGTCTAGTTTTGTGCTCCATACTCACAGTGACTACCCCTTGAATGATTTTATTTGGATCACAACACCCCCAAACAATTCACGCCACAACATCCAATTTAAGTCACTCTTAGAAAGGAATTAGAGCATGACGAATATAAAAGAGACTACCACCATAAAAACAAACACAAAGGAGATATTGAGTAGTTATTTAACACACATCAACAATATTAATAGTCCTCAAATCTTCAAGGCCGGCACTTGGAGCATGACGAATATAAAAGATACTACCACCATAGAAACAAACACAAAGGAGATATTGAGTTGTTATTTAACACGCATCAACAATATTAATAGTCCTCAAATCTTCAAGGCTAACACTTAGAGGCGTGCTCTATTGACCTCTTAGAAAAGGATCGTTATGAATGTGCTACACGAGGATTAGTAACCAAGAGTCACTAGACCCAAGTTGGCGAAGTTGGTGACAAGTCGATTAAAGCTAAATTTGAAAGGGAGCTGGCATGGCAACCTAGGAGAACTGGGCAAGAACCTCATGAATGACAAGGGGCAAGGATTGTCCTTTCAAGGCCCCCATTTAGTGATAGGGATTCATTTCAAAGCAAACTCCCTAATGACAGGCCTTAAGCTCTATACTGAGACAGGAGAGGCGCCAATAGTTGAGTGTCATCACTTCAATCTTATTAGATGGGCATTCAAAGAGAAGCCCCATGATTTTCTAGGAATGTTTCACAATTGTCCTGGATTTGTTACTTTTTGCCATGTTTATCATGTGGCTAATGTATATGCATTGGGGAATGATGGCGTCTATTATGTTGGTTCATTTGTTACTAGAGACTAGGCCCTTCATGAGATGTACTTTTCCATCCTTACGATGGTCGCCTACTTTTGATGTAATTTGAGAAAAACTTTACTAAAGTTAGATATCTTCGAATAGTCAAAATATTTCAGCACTCTTTTAGTTATCTCTAAAAAAGCAGCCAATGTGATCCAAAATATCTCCTCAAAAACATAAGTCAAGCAAGCTCCACCCCATGAATTTTTCAAGTTTCCAATGAGCAATTTACGCAAATTCCTAATTGACAAATGAATTGGAGTGAGAGAATATTGCAAATTGTTGATGAAGGAGATTCACAAGAAAATAATGTGTACAAGAAACTCCTAAGAGGGATTGCAGTAAGAATCAGAAAATTAATCAACAAAAGGAAAATCAAACGGCTCTCGAATTGAAATGTGAGGTTTGGACGTGAAGGCTGTACCTTATTAATAGAGAAAAATGACCCAAAGCAGCAATGCAATGTGTACTCTTCCATTTGCATGCCATAGTAGGTCAGATACTTCTTGACAACCATATAGACGCCTATTCTTCTTAAAATTGATCTCATTGTGTTGAGTACGCACAAGTGAACTTTTGGATAAGGGTAGCAATGGGGTTGGGTCGACCTGCGGACTGGGCGGGTCGACCCAACCTAGGTCCGAGAATGCGTCAAGGGTTGGACCCCATAGCTTGGGTCAGGGTCCAACACTCTGGGCTTGTATCAAGACCTGGTCGTGGTAGACTCAACCCTGATTTATTAATAATTAAATTAAAATATTATTTACCCCACACGGAGTTATTAATAAATAAATTAAAAACTTATTTTTATGTTATATTATTTAAATATTAATCAAGTGTTAATGAACTAAGGCCCTGTTTGATATCACCCTAATATTTCAAGATAATATATAATCTACTATAATTTTGATTATATAAATTTACATACCCTGTTTGATTGGGTAAAATCATATCTTTTAATATGAAATAGACCCCAAATATCCGAATCCCTAATAACTCAACTCGTAGTTGAAATTTACAGGATTCAATTTCGTCGTAAAAAAAAAAAAAATTGCATGCATCTCTCCCTCTATCATCAAATATTATCCTCCTTTCTCTCTCCCTCTCTCGTCTAGCAAGCCCCTCTCACTCTATCTCTCTCTCTCTCTCTCTCAACCTTAATCCCTGTCAATCTTAAATCAGCTCACGGGTATCAAAATCTCCCTCTCTCTTAATTCACCACTAACCACCAAATCCAATCAGTTAACAGATTTCATACTGTGCATGTGTTGAACAGGATTTCCTCATGAACTCTTACAAAAGAGCAATGAGAAAGATCAAGAACAGAAGGCGTTTTTATAGAAAGGAAAAAAGATTTGGGGCGTGATCTGTACAGTGAGGAAAGAACTGTTGGTGCGATTTCTATGGTTCTTCTCATATGGGTTTTTCTCACATGGATCTGTCTCACCTGGGGAATGCAACATTGATGATGATCTTGACAGGCTTCTCTCCTATCCAAATCATTCAGTTTCTTCCTGTGTATATCCCCTTTGGGACAATGATTTTTGGCTACTTTGAGCTTGCAAGACACCTGCCTTGATTCACATGGAGCAATACTTTGTCATCACCCCCACATAAAAAAGAATTGAGTGATGGAATTGATGAGTTTTTTGTGCAAGGGAGAACTTATTGAGGGATGAAATTGGTGAGCTTTTTCTAGGAGTAGCAGAAATAGATCTATGACAAGGATTTTATTCTTGTTTTTGTTTTACATAACTTAAAAATTGCTTAATCTCCTCTCTGACAACTTCAGGAACATTTTTGCCTCATTTTGTATCTTCTTCACAAAAATTGCATCTAACGCAATTTTTGTCACTTGCATTCGGGTTGTATCCATATTTCTAACCCGAATCTCCACTCCGACTAACTCCTAAAGAAGATATCTCAAAATAAAGCAAACAATCTAAACAGTGCACTTACTTTGGTTGCTTGAACTCCAAACTTTAAGAAACACTTCGATGATTCGATGATCAATCCAATGAAATGTAGTTTTTTTAAGGGTTTTTTTTGTCTAAAGGGGCTTCTTGTGGGTTTAGGGTTCAAATGAACCTAAAAGCCATCATTCTTAACCTTTAAATCTTTCACAATAACAAACGAAAAAAAAAAAAATCATTTTTTCCTCCTCTGGGCGGAGCGCTGGCCCTGGGCGGCTGCCTAGGCGGGTTCCGAGGGACAGACTGCCCAATTTGACCGCCTAGGCCTGGGCGATGCGCCCAGGCCTTCTGGACCACCTAGGTGGCCGCCTAGGCGCTGGGCGGTCCCTTTTTTTTAACAATGCTACACTATTACATTATTATCTACCTGGTATCAATTGAAAGCTCATAAAGTCTTGGAGAAATATAGAAAGCAGGAAAAATGATAATAACAAAAGGAAAAGTACATAAATGCTTACCTTGAAACTACTATTTTTTCTTCAAGAGAGGTCAATAACACCCCATCAAAACTGCAACATTACCACACAAGAATATACATCAACTAGAAACACAACCCCACTAAAGAATGCCAACCAGATTTACTCAACCAAAAGAACTACCTTATATGTTTCATTATAAAACTGAACTAAATAAAACGTAAATAGAAGCACTATTTCATTATTTGAAAAAGGATGTACATATTCACGTTATCTTTATTGAATAGCTGTCAGGTAGCTAAGTGCTTCAGGAATATTTTAGGTATGTTCAATACATAAAAATCTCAATATGATGACTAACATACAGAATCCATTGTTCTTGCATCAAACCTACTTCGTCCAATCCACTGAGTGAAGACTTTTGTCATCCAAAATGGAAACTCGACAGCCAATTTTCTCCCAAGCTCCAAGAGTTTTACCAACCACAAATGCAAAAACCTGTCCTCCCAAAACAACAAACAACAATATATTAGAACTTTCATAAGAAACATCTACAAAGATCTAGGCTTTGCGCTAACCAATGACAAAACACTCATCTATTGCATTATTGCCAAACATCACCAACAAACAAAGTAGCATGATGGATCTGATATGCACATAGAAAACCCCTTGGGTGTATAAATAAATTACCCAAGAAAATTTTGTAAAGGTCACGACTGTTTCTTATGTAAATGACTTGACTAGAACAGAATCTAGCAAAATCTAGATACTAATGCATTTAAGTAAGACGAGATTATGCAATGAGAATCGAAGAAAGAGAGAAAATCTCAAAAAAGGGAGAGCAGAACAACAATTAATTGAGCATCACAGCTCTAGAACTCAAAAGTTCCATTACAACTTTAATACATTTTCTATCCCTTTCACAATGGACGTATAGTAGCCTATTCATATAATTATATAAAACTCTAAAATTAACTTGATATCCACATAAACAATTTAAGACTCTAAAATACTATTAAAATTCAATAAACACCAAAAAAAATCGAATTAATCCTAAAAATATCACTATTTTCAGGCATATACTTTAAACTAAATTTTGGGGCCCAAAACAGAAAAATTGTGAAGTAAACCCTAGAAATAGCCTTTGCCGATAACTGAGCGATATTTGAATTGCAACTTGAAGCACCACTATATGAAAAGCAAGTGAAAAGTTATGATCCTCGGATGATGACTGCATCATTCACCTCTTCTCGGAAAGAAACTCGCCCTCGAGTTCACTATGAGATCACTTTGTTTTAAGATTGATGTTTTACATGCCCTGCATACCCTTTGACTTTGGACTTCACTTTAGGCAATTGGTGGGTAGTCGTAACATTCGCCTTGGCACTTCTTCATTGGATCTCCATGTAAATAATAAATTGCATATATTTGAAGGGATGAATAAAATCTTTCACCAATAATGCTTGAATGTCATTCAAAAATCCTTAAAGAAGAGGGGCTTCATATTCTGTGCACAACTTAGAAATTTTAAAATCTTTAAAATCCTCACAACAAAAAATCAGACTTTCATAATATACCTCTTTGATCATTTGTTCTTCATCTGGATCCTTATCATACATAGCCTCACCAATTATCTCAATAAGTGGTGATTAATCATGTAATCCAAAAAGGCGGCCACAAAAGCATTCCCTTATGAAGCTTTAAGAAAATAAACCTGAAACGTAGGGTAGTTGGTATGAATCTCATGCAGCTCATATTCACGCAATATGCCTTCAAGGTTTGCAGTTCTATGGATCATCAGATCCATTAGTTGATCCACCCTTTGAGTCAAGTCCATCATTGATTGCACAACTCAGGTCTCAAGGAAGGCATGCAGCTATCGGATCTCTAATCCAGCGCAATCAAGCTTTGCTCTAATACCACTTTGATGTAGTGAGAATCGAAGAACGCGAGAAAATCTCAAAAGGGGAAGAGCACAACAACCATTAATTAAGTATCACAACTGTAGAACTCAAAAGCTCCACTACAATTTTAATAAAATTTTCGATTCCTTTCACAATGGACACATTTTGTAAGCATGTAAAATACTAAAATTCAGTGGAGATCCAAGTAGACAGTTTAATACCAATGTTTTAAAATGAGGAATGGCATCCCGATGCCGACAGCACCAGATGTAGCGATGAGGCTCGATGTGGTCTAGATGCATGCGCATCACATCCGATGCAGTCATTATATTACAAATTTCTAAAAAATATAAAAAATAAATTAAACAATGCATAAAGAAAATAGATATGATTTATGTGATAATAAGTATTCATTCATTATCTTTAATATATCAGTTGTTTGAGACTCTGAGTCCTTCAAAAGCCTAATAAGGAGCAATAATGTTTGTTGCTAATATTTAGTATAATTAACATGTAAAACAAAGCAATATATTCCATCGTAGTTAACGTGTCCAATTTCAAACTTCACTAATTCACATAAACATCCAAAATTCCAAACTTTAAAATTCAAACACCAAAGATGCATACAACCACCAAAAGTTTATGAACACCAATAAAAATAAATAAAAATAAAAATAAAAGATAATCCACTCTCAAGTCTCAATCTCAACTCTCAATTAGACAGACCATTTGGGGATTCTGCATGTGTATGTGCATCTCTCAAACCTGAATCCGAGGATGTAGAGGCATCATCATAACTATCATCGACCTCCTCCATATACTTTGTCTTCGTCAATCTCCTCAAAGCCGGCCTCGTCCTCCTCCTCGACCTCTAAAACAGATGTGTGATTGGACCCACCCTTTTTCCTTTGTGTTCTATTATTAGGCCTCACTTCTTCTCCATGCCCTATGGCCTCCATGACATTATATCAATATTCTAACCCCCAAACACATGCTCAGATTACGGATCCACAGTCCACTCGCTTGTGCACTCGCCTTCAGGATCATCCAATTGAATTGAGTTGACATCCATGCAATCCAGGTACCTCTCCCTAAGGCAATCATTATATTGCACATACACGAGATCATTCAACTTCTTCTGCAAAAATTTTTTTCTTTTTTCGGTATGGAGCTGTGATACAAAACAAGGAAACAAGCAAAAGGAAAAAAATGTCATTTTCTAGGGTTCTTAAATTTTAGAAATTTAAAAACCAAGAAATAAGGATTTACATGCTCAATGCACTCCATTTGCGTCCACAACCATATGAACTATATGTGAGGCTCAACACTCAAAATGCAAGACATCGAAGATTTGTTGTCTTGCTTCCATATGATGCCCACCATGCAACTGCATATTATTTTAGATACTTTATTATTTATATAATGAAACTATGCAAATGAAAACATCAAATAAAACCAAAATGGTACTTTGGGCCTTTTTAATTACCTGATTGTGCAGTTTCCCTGCTTCCAATTGGGACATGTCTTCAAATGTTTCCTAATGCACACTTAAACTTGATCAACTCATGACTTTGGATATCATCTTGGATAGCTCGGTTAGAGACCAACATCTCAAGCACATCTAAGAACCCACCATTTATTATAAGATCTGACCCAATGGATGGGTGCTTATAGTGAAGAGATGAATTTAAACATAAACAGTTGCATGGAGGGGGCAAAGAAGCTGGTTATCCCATCTATCAACAATGTCGAGTATAGGCTTGCATTTGCTTTCATCATTCTTTAGAACCGTTTTAATCTCTTGATCTCTTCTTCTGCATTAATCATGTATGAAGCACATGGTGCGCTTTGTTTCGACATCAATCAATCTAAGCGCATTCAATAAAGGGCAAGAAACATCCAACCCATAATACACTTGGTTCCAAAAGATGTATTAAGGACAATCTGCTAAACTTTTTTCCCATCTCAATGCTTTGACCACTTACTTATGTTCCACTTCTCTAAAATAAACATGGTCCTTAGGGTACCTTTTTGCTTGCATAAGCTTTGAAGAGTGAGAAATGTCGTGGAAAATAGTCACTCGTACTCTCCCTATCTCTATCTTTTTGTAAACTCCCTTATCTAGCTTAGGATAATGGTATGACTATTAATAAAACAAACGAGAAACTTAGCTTTCGAAAACACCCCACTAAATGTGGATGTCTTCCCTGAAATCATGGCAGTGAGCTGCACAGGGAGTCCAAAACATATGTCTCCTCTTCGAAGTCAAAAGATGCCCAACTACTCAGTAATTGGCGCCATTGTCAATGACAATTTTCACCACATGTTCCTTCTCAATAAAGTCTATAATCTCATCCATTAACTCACACAATTATGTAGCATTAATCTCATCCATCAACTCACACAAGTACGCAGCATCATGTGACCTATCTGATACATCAATAGACTTCACAAAAAAAGTAACTAAAGGACAGTTAACAAAAACATTAGTGAATTACCAAGACTTCCATAAACCATCCACCACACATGATGGTCACCCCGACTTCTCCCACCATTCTTTTTGAGAACTCAAATTTTCTCAACTTCATATACTCATTCTTTTTGAGAAGTCAAATTTTCTCAACTTCATATACAGCATCCTTCAAAAGAGGCTCCCTAAGCTAATGTAAGCTTAAGTCTTAGGCCAAATTGTGCAATTGCCTCAGCCATAACCTTGAAACTATCAAGGTTTATGATATTGAAAGGAAAATTGGCCAAATAAAACCACTTCACAATGTATTTACATACCCTATCGCCATCTTCTTTCTTGCATCAATTTTCAAGTGTGGTTTGTTTTGGCTTTTCCCTACTTTCTTGAACCACAACTTCAAGGTTAGGGGTGCAAAATGCACCCGATATTTATAAAGCTCCCCCTTGTAGCCACCCTATGCCTACTTCCAACTCTTAATGCATCTTCTCCATCATCTTTATCATCATCAAAACTTCCTAAAATATTTCTTTTCGTCTCATTTTTCTATTGTTTTTGTTTTTTTAAGCTATCCATGTATTCCATAATATCCTTTTTTATCTCATCAATTGCTTATGGGTATGCTCTAACACTTCCACTAATACCGGCTGGGTCTTCTTTCTGCTGGAAATTACCCCCCATATAAGTATTTCCACATAGAGTACAAATAAACAATTTCCATCCTTTGGATTTTTTAATTTTTCATATTTTCCAAGCCGGATCCTTTTTGCTTGAAGATGAAGACATTACCAGTTTTTTAGGGGGGGGGGGGGGGGTTAGTACCCCAAAATGCTTAGCTTTCCCCCCCTTTCATGGGGAAAATTACGTTTTGGGCCAAATTTACCCCCACGTGTGTGGGCCGCATATGCAGGGGCCTCACCCAAAGGTGCATATGCAACCTGAAGCAGCCACATTTAGTAAGAATCTTCAAGATTCCAAATTTGCTACTAATAATTAATACCAAAAAAACTCCAATTAATACTAAACTTCATCACCATTTTCAGGCATATAGCTTAAATTAAGTTTTGAGCCCAAAATAGCAAAATTGTGGAAAAAACCATACAAATAGTCTTTGTAGATTACTCAAGAGATCTTTGATTTGCAGCTTGAAGCACCATGATCGGACACACGAGTGAAAAGTTATGATCCATGGATGACAAATGCCTCACAAGACCCAAGTCCAGAGATCTATCATGACAAGCTTGCCCAGTAGAAAACATAAATCTAAGTAGTGGATGTATTTTTACATGTGCTTGCCAGTGCCAGATGTCTTCAGTAGTGACACATATATTATGGAGTCCAAAATACCTTAGAATATAACACACACACGCACACACATATATGATATAATCAATGATTTAAAAAGGACATAAGTTATCTAATTTTCTATGCAAATGGACTTAAACAAAAGACAGGTATAACATATACCCAAAATGCCTACCTAAAACACTTCAAACCAAGAAACTTCAAGAATAGGAAGACAAACATGCAAAAGAAATGTGACAAAAATATAGCATAGCAAAGAATCACTACTTGAAAAAAGGCATGATAAGGAACAGGATACTAGGTCATATGTATATTCGAAATATAACGGACAACTGTTTGCTAGATACCACTAGAATAGTCACATTTAAGGAAGTGACAGATATTGATTAACACTATCAATTTCAAATAGATGCCCGAGTCCACAAGAGAGAAATAAATCATATGAATGCATCCAAAAGCACGAATTATTCATGGCAAAGAAAAATGTGTTTGCTTTAACATACCTGAAGCTTATAACCAAGCAACTGTAAGTTACTCCCAAGTGTAATCAACATCAAAGATGAAGCGTCAGCATCCATACTTGACATAACCTGTGGATAGCAATGATCAATTCAATATATACATGCTTTATATTTTCTATAGAATATATAAAACACCATTTAGGTTAGTACACACGTGTCATTCACTAAATATTTATTAAGTTCGGTTAGTGGTTCGGGAGTGAAGAGTTATTTCATGATCATTACAAACATAATTTTAGGAGATCAAATGGCTAATAGGTTAATTAATAAATCTAAGAGTGTTTAAAACTGTAATATATGCTCAAAAATAAAAATATGTAATATCATCAATTAATAAATAAAATAAATTAAATTATAGCAAATTTTAAACATAAAGGGGAAAACATAAGGTAATTCACATTATTAGCAATATTAAAAAAGTGAGTGGCCAAATAAATATGAACCTACCCTGCACTTCAGGGGGTCAAATTAGCAATTATGTTAGTATTGCAACTCAAAATCCAAAGAAATAATTAACAAGGTGAGTGGCCGAAATTACTCCAATTAGTAAAATGTTAAACTTTAATATTGATTAACTATTTGTAATACAATGTAATCCTGTGGGATCATGTCACAACGAAAACTTTCACTATGTATCTATTAAACCCAAGTATTAAATAGGGTTGGATGATGTATCTAAACCCTAGCATCATACCACTAATAAATGCTATTTTGTTTTGGATGATGTATCTACAAACTAGCATCATACCACTAATAAATGCTATTTTGTTTTGCCAAATTCACCTATATAAACGACCATATAATCCTTGGAGACTATAAAATTCTTTATTATACTAATATTAAAATATTTTATTAATTTTATAATTTCTTAGAAAGAAGCACGTTACTCAAATCTATTTTGATGTGAGTAACATGAACACAGAGAATGCATATCTGATGGAAGATTGAAAGAAACTAGCGTGTCATATAATTTAAATTGGTACCAAATTAGAAATTTAATGCAAAGCAAATCTCTTCTGATCAGGAGATGTTTAAGTTTGTATTGCTATTATTATTAGTATGTGCGTAAATGACTTAAAAAGTGTAAACTTTTTAGAGTTGACACCTAAAATCTTGACACAAATAGAACGAGAACCACAACATCGTATCACCACAAACATAACACATTGTGATCCTCTAAGCAGTAATTTACTTAAGCATAATATAAAAAATCATATTTTAATAAATATCGTAGCATATAGATGTGACTACTTCAAAAGAATGTCACTTTCTTAAACATTTAGTAATTAAATCTAATAAAATTATAGTTCAAAGATAAAATACATATCTAAATAATATCCATACACAAAGTCAAATTCAAATTATAATACTTTTAATAATGTAAATGAAGTAGATAATATTTTGTTTAAAATTGGTATTTTAACTTTTTTGCAAAATTATAGCTAATCTTAACTAATAATTAGCATTATATCAAATATTTATCTTTAAACCTATTAATTTCTTATAACAATAATCTCAAAATTAATTAATCATCATCTCATCATCACTTTTCCCGATTTTGTTGTATTAGAGGTCATACCCAAATACAAATCCTGGTTCGCCATTTTGCTGTATTAGAGGTCATACCCTCAGTGACGCCATAAGTCCCCATTTATTTTCTCATTACTTCCAACCATATCTTTTGGGCCTACCATTTGTCCTTTTTAAGCCTTCCACTTGAACTAGCTTGCACCTCCTAACAGGTTTTGTACTAGGTTTGCACCACACATGGCCAACCTACCTAATTCTACTCCCTCTCATCTTATCTCGTATTGGTGCCACACGTAAATTTTGCTGAATGTATTCTTCAAAATTAATAAACCAATGAGCTCAAGACTATAACTATAAATTAAAGTTTATAATTGAGCAATATCATAATTAATAAACAAAGCTAAATTTCAATCATAAATTCATATTCATAAACAAGGTTGGAAAACTCGCTAGGCAGAGCCATAAGCAGCCACCTAGTTGGGGCCCAGAGAAATGGCCGAACCCAAATGTTAAAAAAAAAATTTTAGGGTTTGGTTAAATACCAAACCCCCTTGAATATGAGTTCAAATAATTAATTACAAGGTTTAATGAATTTTGGGTTTCATATCCTAAGCCCATAACTCCACATTCTAAAATGAAAGAAAATCACAAATACCACAAACAAAAAGAAAAGAACATAAATATGTACAAATATCTAATTATAAATACATAATTGCTCATAAAACCTTATCCAAAACTTGAAAATGTCTAACCTCTAAAACGGAATCCTTCAAGCTCTGAAAGGGCCAAAAACCTCTTTAAAACACCACTTCAAGCGCCAAAAAGATTGGACACAAATGCCATTTGATTTTGTAAGCAATTTAGAATTTCAGATTTTTGTTCAATCTTGGATTTCTCACAAGATATCTAAATTTGAGTATGTATTTGACTTGAAATTAGTTCTCCAAGAGCTTCGAGGGATTAAGATGAACCCCCATGGTCTTAATACAAACCACCTGGGCGCTCGCATTGTGAGGTGGCCCAAGTTCCGCCCAACTAGGCCTAGGCAATGCGCCCAAGGCCTCTAGCTGCCTAGGCGCTCAAGTGGGGAAATTTTCCAACCTTGTTTATAAATAAAATTATTTTTTATAAAAATTGTACACGAGATCACTCAAAATTTCATTTATTTACTCAACACTTCGGTGATCAAATAAACAAGTATGTTCTTATTCATCAAATGCTAACTTTAAATCTTAATTAAATATTTATAACTTTAAATCAGTACAGCAAAAGAGTCTATTTCCTCTTTCCATTACTCAATAAAAGCACATTCCTCTTTCGCTCCCCAGAATTGTGGAAGGCCCTGAGAATTATGACATTGATATTTACAGTCGAAGTACCTATGCCTGTGAATAACATGAACATAGACAATGCATATGAGATGGAACATTGAGCAAGACCATCATGTAATATATAATTAAACTGGGACCAAATCATGAATTTCAAAGCAAAGCAAATCTCTTTTGATCACTTAGATGTTTAAGTTTGTATCATTAATGTTATTAGCATTATACATAAATGACTTAAAAAGTCTAAAGCTTTTAGAAGTGATACCTAAACTTATGACACAAGATTAAGATAAAAAAAATATTTTAAATTAAAATCTTCTAATTTGATTTAAGTTTGTAACCATTATTATTATGGAAAACCATACAATGAAGCCATTTACCTTTGTTACATAGTGGTCATAATTATTTTTGAACATTGGATATGATATTGGGTGGCTGCATTTATTTCATTGACCAAGCTCACAGTTCAAAATAAATTTTCTTGAACTTTGTGACACACCCAAGCTATCAGATTTCACATTGGATGGTTATGAGTATTGTGACCTCCTTGTACCAAACGTAAATGGTCTCATTGTATACAATCCTTATTATTATTAGTATTATACATAAATGACTTAAAAGCCTTAATTTTTTTAGAAATGATACCTAGAACTCACAAGTGAGTGAACAGCACAACACGATACCACCACAAACATAACATATTGC